TTACCCTCCTTAGAATGAGGTGTTAGAAAAATGCGGACAATAGGATTTACTAAATTGATCAGCTTATATAAAATTTACACGTAATTGATAAAGCTTAAATGATATCTTTGTCTACTTTTGCAATTTTTGTTAATCTCTTTTTTAAACTAAAATAAAAATTATGTTGCGCTTCGTTTACAAAATATTATTGCGTCAAAATGTCAAAATATCCGAGCTTATTACATTAATTATTAATCAGTAGGTTTCGCCAAATTAATTTTGTAAAAAATAAAAAAAAAAAGTAATTTTCATTGAAAAATGAAAGGTTCGAATTAGAAACAAAGTCTTTTAAATACTACATTTTGTCATTTTTGACCGATATATATGTATAGTTAGACCGACATAGTTTGAGAAATAAAAAATATATATATAAGAACACATTTTGTAAGTTTTAGCATTATACTCCAACTGGAAATTTGTGTCGAAGAACAATACAGGGGAGGTCACTTACATTTGATCATAAAAAGAAATAAAAATTTCGTTCCAGGCAGATCGCCTTATTCTCGATTAAGTTAGAATTTTTTGAAAACAAAATTTTAATACATATAAATAAACGTTTAACAAATGAACTAACCAAAAATAATTGAAATTTTTTTAAAAAAAGTTTTTTCGGTTCATGCTGAATATTAATAATTGATTAAATTATCATTTTTTTTTTGAAAAAAAAAACCATATTTTGAATTTTTAAAATGAATTCATGATGGATTCATTAAAACTTGACAAATAATCCTAATATTCAAAATTTTATTTGGTAGGACAGAGATTTCTTTTCGAACGTAAAGGTGGATGCTACAGTTTATTTATTATAGATATGAAGGAGGAGTTTGCCTTATCCTGAAGCTTCCATAGTCGTTATGTTAGTGGCTTTACAAAGGAAAGGAGTCCTGTGGTTATTACATAACATATACTCGCTTAGTATAAAGGAAGATCCCGCTTTGTAAATATAATGGTCGTACCTTATACGTTATATTGTAGTATATATGACAATATAAATCTCTGAGATTTTATCATTTAATCCTGTATTAACCATTTCCATTTTTTTTTTTTTTAGATATTTATAAAGTCATAAACGATACGTGTCCTGCATATTCTAAATAAATTGTAAAGGTAATTATTATTTAAGTTTCATTATTTTTATTAAATATCTAAACATAATGTTTAAAAATTTTTATTAAATATTTAGATATTCATAGGCGACCACGTCTATACTAGGATGGCGAGATTTAAGGAAATTTATAAATTTAATATTGATCCAAGAAATTTTAATGATTCATAAATTTTAAAAATAAATAAAATTTTTTTTTTATAAAATAATGTATTCAAATTAAATATAAAAATTTATTCGATTTTTAATTATCGAAATTATCTTTGTTTGCGCAAAATAAAAAAAAATAAAGTTTATTTAAAAATCATCTACGTCGCAACATTTCTAGTAAAAATGTCGGTATCATCTTTTATCACTCAGCATTTCATAAAATGGGTCTAATTCTCAAATTCCTTTATCATCGCGAATGAATATATTTTTTTGGTAGGATTACTTCAATACTTTCATTTTTTTGTGATATACCAGCTTCGCGTGTTTTGATGTTTAATTTCCTGTGTTAATTAAATTATTATTTTTTTTTTTTTGAAAATTTAAACTTACATATATTATTCCATTTTTATTTATTTTCTATGAACAAACCTTGTTAATAATGAAAAATGCTTTAGTAGTATAGTGCAGGAAGTCTATACTCAACAATATAAATTGTAACACTTAAAAATCTTTTACTCTTTAAAAAAATAAAATTTAAACTGGTAACTTTATTCTTTGATATTAAATTAACGGTCAGTTTTCAAAATAAGTTCTATATAAAAGGTATAGGTATTAAAAAATGGATAATTATATTATTGATTCAAATTTATAATAATTCGAGCCGGCATTATGATAATTAATCATAATGTCAGCATTATTATAATTTTAAAACAATACACAAAACAAAAATGATTACTAATCACGTGATATAAATACACTAAAATTTTTAAACATGGTTAAGACTTCCAGCATCATAGCATAAACTCAATATTAAACTTCAATGTTTTGATGAACTAGTTCCTTTTTAGGCAACAATACAACAATCATTGTAATAAAATTTTCTATAAAAAATAAATAATCTCATTTTAACAAATTCAATTTTCATATTCCTAAACATTTTTGAAACAAAGTTTTTCAAATTCTAGAGAAGAATATGTCAAAAGTCAACTAACAACATTTGCCCAATAAGATTGGCTCAGTAATTTACACAGTATTTTAGGAATTTTGTAAGTGCCTCTATTTTATTGCTTTTATAATTATTAAAATTTCAATTTTATATATAAATCCTCTTCTAAATATTTAATATATCAGAGTTAATGCAAAATTCTGATACAATTTTCTTTGATAATTTTTTATGTTTGATTTATATTCTAATAAATGATTAAGTATAATATTCATTTTATTAATATAGATAGCTTTTAAGCTTACAAATAGGTTTGAAATAGCAAATTTAGATACAGAATAAATTATATTAGAGGATAAAATTGTACTTTTAAAAACAATTCAGATCTCAAGATTGGATTGATTAAAGAAAATTACCAAAGAAAATACTGAAAAGCATAAAGTATATGTTAAGTTTTTTTTATTTTTGATAATTCTGTTAATTAAACTTTTAATTCTTTAAGGAACTTTTTTATAGGTTTTTATTTATTATTTTAAATTTGAAAACCTATTATAAGTTATTATAAAAGAAGATTTTCTTTATTAATGAGTGAAATTAACTCATGGTATATTTCTTTAGGTTGGTATTTTTAAGATCAACTATTTGCCAAACAGGAATCAACTGATAATAAAGATCAGGTTTGTTCATGATTTCTTATTGAATATTTCCTAAGGAAGCTTATTTTTAAATATTAATATATTCTTTGACTACAAAAATCAAAATTTAAAACTTGTAACATTTATATATAGTACAGCTTTTGGCATTAAAAGGTGAAAAAAATAATTATTACTGATATATATAATTTGTAATATTTAAACAACATGACTAAATTTCTAAAAATATAAATATATTTAAATATTTTTTTTTTTTCAGTATTCAAAAATATGAAATAATATATAAAAAAAAATACAAATATCTGGCTTAAAGAATATAATGTAGATTCAAATCAGAAATTCAACATTTTATTATTTAGTTCTTATAGTACTATATTATACCTGATTTTATGAGAAAAAATGTGTCTTATAATGCATCAGAAGGTATTTCTATATTACTTTATATTAATTTTTTATTAAATTATCTATACAATAATAAATAAAAAATATTTCTTTTCATATATTTTAATTGGTCTTGATTTATATAAATATTTCATGCATGCTTAAAACTATTAACATCTATCTATTAATCTAATTATTTATAAAATAGCTCTAATTATTAAAATGGAATTTTTCAGATTAGTGTTTATTTTATAAGAGATGGGTTGCGACTTTACAGAAAATTTTAAAGAAACATTATTTAGGCTTTTAATTAGATGACAGAATAAGTGTTATTTAAATTAACATATAGATATCAAAAAAATTTTGTAACTAATCATTGAAGAAGAAATAGCATCAGTAGAGATGTTCTGAAAAAAGAATAAGTATAAAATCATCTTCAATTAATATCTATCAATAGAGAGGTACTATATATGATAATTCAAAAGATAAGCTATAAAATGCAAATTTACAGAAATATTTGAGCATCTTGATACAATAGCAACAACTAATAGATATAATACAACTTAATATATGTTACTCTAAAGGGAAGAAGGATCTGTAGTATATACAATATTCTATAATATTCTATTTTAAAATGGCATATTTGATGATATGTACAAATTCACTTGATTTTTGAATATAGGTTTATGCTTAAGTGGATTTTCAGAATTGAGACAATTAGAAATTATAAACATTTGAAAATACCAGATATAAGGTAGAGCTTTAGAGATAATAAATAAGTATGTCTAATCTAATAGTCAACACATTTAAATTTGATTTGAAATTTATTAACATAATAAATGCAAAGAACAAATTTTATTCTTGTCACATTAGCAGTAACAGGGATTGTCACAAAAATATATTTCATTTTATTAAGTATTTAGAAACTTAAAATTTTTAGCAATGAAAAATCTACTATTTGTCAAACATGTATGCTACAATTAATTTTAAATAAATACTGTTGTAATAGGTGAAATTTTAGGTAGATTCAATTGGTAAAACTTAGAAGTCAATTTTATCACCATATAGATCTTAATAAAGATCATTTTGTCTATTTTATTATCATTGATCATTATGAAAATCTCTAGATATCAATTTTATTATCCTTGATAATCATGTAGATCATAGATGTCCATTTAATTACCTGCAGATCTGGTAATTTTATTGACACAGCAACTTTATTGCCTGGCAAAATGACCACTTTATTTCTTTTAATATATTTAGTTTAGTTTATTTTATTAATTATTCAACATATATAAATATCTCTATATTTTCTTTGAGTTTCAATACTGACGAGATGTTAATCTTTTAGATACTTAACTTATATATTATATTAATAAAGGAGTATAATTAACCAGTATAAAACTTATCTTTTGTAATTCTTGAAACTTTTATAAATTATTCTTGACCCTTCATATTCGTAAAATCCCTTTAATTATTGTTAGTAAATTTATTATATGATATTGTATTGATTTGCTGTATTTATTTAGAGTCTCTAAAGCGTAATTTCTGAAATTTCTTGTATTATCTTTATTTTATCTTATATGTTTTATTTTTGAGAATAAATTTTTGACGTTATTATAAATCCTTACCCATGATTTTTTAAGTAATTATCTTAGCTTTATTTACCTTTTGAGATTTTATTTGAAGTTATGAAATGAGTAAAACAATTTGATGCTTCTTATAAGGAATGAAAACAATAATCAAGTATGATTTATATGAGTATTCAAGAACTATTAAGATTAAAAAAGAATATCAATAATACAACTAATCATTTAGAAGAAATTGATATTGAAATCCTTTGATAAGAGAATTACAACAATAACTAAATACCCTTACTAAACTTTTTAGCTATATTTATATTTATCCTGATACTAGAGAAAGAATAAGATGCTTAATTACTTACAAGAGAAGCAAACTACTGCTTAACATAATCTATTTAATCAAACAAGAGATTAAAAGAGGATTAAAAACTCTCAACAATTACCTATTCAGCCTACATAAAAACAGAAATAATTTATTAGAATTAGAAGAAACTTGTTAAATCTTTTTAGAGGTTTTTACTAATATATGAATTGTGACCTATACTATAAAATAAGAAATCAATATCAAAATGACTATTTAGAATACAGAGGGTAATCATAAATACCCAAACAATTAATTAAACTATTTAATTTACTTATTATATTAACTCTTTTTTTTAGAATAAGCAAAAAATTTATTTGTTTTGAATATTTCCTATATATTTATTAAAAAAAAAATAAAAAACTAATATTTTGTTGAACCACTTTCAGCTGCTATACATATTTGAATGTGATGTGGCATACTTTCAACCAAATTTTGAATATATTCAAGTGGAATTAAACGCTAAGCATTTTTACCTTACATTTTAAATCTTCCACACTATTAGGTTGATTAGGCAAGTTATGAAGTTTCTTATCAATTTCATTCTAAAGATTTTTAATAGGATTTAAATTGGAGTTTTGTACAGGTCAGAATAGAACAAAAATCTTAGAGGCGTTACAAACATCAGTGGCAATCTTTGCTCGATGAGGTAGGGTATTATTCTCTTGAAAAATTCCTTGTTTACGAGGAACTAATTTGTAAATTAAAGGAATAGTATACCTCTGTAATACTTTTGCATATCTTTGTCCTGTTACAGATTCACGAAGAGGAACAAGAGGTCCCAACCCATATTACAAAAAGCATCTCCAAAATATTCAATTAAGACTATACTTTACTGTAGCAGTTAAACAAGAAAGGCTAATTCTTCTTCTGATATACGCTACACACGTAAGCTACGACCTTATAAAAATTGATTAAATGTTGATTTATCAGACTATACAATTTTCTACCATTTTGCAATTATCCAATCTTCTCATTCCAATGCTCAAGCCAATCTTTTTTCTTTATTATTTTCAGAAATTAATGGTTTAGAGCAGGCAACATAAGAACATAAGCTGATTTTTTTAAGAGTCTGACGAATTGTAACAGTTGAAACTTTCTTTTTTTTTAGTCTATAATTCTTGAATTTTTTGAGTAGTAAGGTGACAATGCTTTAAATTTTATGTAACAATCTTTTTGAGTGAAGATTGTGCATTTGAATTAAAAAGTAACTTTAGGCTACAACGTTTTTTTGGTATTGCAAAACCAGTTTCTTTAAAATGGTTTATCGCATCATGGACAGTTGTTTTATCACATTATACAATGTCAGCAATTTTTTGATATGAATCACCTTATTTGTGGCCGTAAAGAATTGTCCCATATTGTTCAGCATTTAATTCTTTTGTTTTAACCATTTTGTTCGAAAGAAAATTATTTGTTATTATTTGTGATCGACATCCATTTATATTTTAAACAAATGCTTAAATTAGAAATATATGTAAACATGTAAACAAAGCAAATAAACAAAAAATACTTATCGTTCAAGTATCTGTGATCACCTCTGTATTTAGAATGAAAGCATCTTATAAAATTTTTTGACAAAGTTTGTAAACTTTGCCATAAACCTTTTAAGAATCCAAGTATCTAATTTTAAAGATTTTATCAGTGGATTTACTAACAATATCACGCATATACTTATTTAACGAAATATGACAATACTTTGATATAAATAATCCACATAGTTTCAACACTGACCAAGTAGCAAAAATAGCAATCTTATTAGTATTTAGTTTAGGATTTACAAGATTATTTGATTCTAAAGTAATATATCAACATATTCTTATCACTTTACATAACACCAACTACTTTAACTTTGAGGAAACCTCTTCACTAAATCTTACAAATATAGCTATGATAGTAGACTAACACAATGTGTTGATAATGTCAATTATGGATAGTATGACCACTGAATTTAATAATATTATTATTCTAACACCACTTGCAGTAGGAAGTTCTACTGTTAAAGTTGACCCTTTTTATAGAAAAGATAGTAAAGATGCTCAAAAATGGATTGAAATATTCTTAAGGGCAAAAGATGTTAATAGATGGTTAGACAATAGAAGAGTAACAATCGCAACAGGAATGCTAAAAGAAGAAGTAGCTGATTAATATAATCTAGTTAGCAGAACAATCACTAGATAGGATGGAAATGTAAATACAAGATTTAGAAAAAGATTATTAGTATAGTTTTAATCTCAAGAAAGTTACATAAATGGCAATATAAATTGATGAATTTAAACAAGAAAATGAAAAGGTTAAAACTTATGCATTTAAATTTAAAAAGTTAGTAAACTGAGTAGATGTAGAAGAAATTCCAGATGCCTTTAAGGTGTGAATATTCTTAAGCAGATTAAATAGAGAATTAGCAACCTTAGTTGCAATACAAAATTCAGCTGATTTGGATGCTGCTATTACTCAAGCTAAAACTGTTGAAGTAGGAAGATACTATGTAACTAAACATAATTTTAGCAAGTTAAAAGTTAAGGACAATATTAAAAAATTGGCTAAACAATTTAAATAAATGGTTTTTAATCAAGTTAATATTATGGCTGCATTAACATATAATCCAGATGAGAGAAAAACCTTCAATCCTGAAAATAAAATAAGAAAAGAATTAACCTGTTTTAGATGTGGAGAAAAAAGACATATAGCCAAACGATATCCCTCAGAAAAGTTATATCACAAGAAAGTTAAAGAACCAGAAATGATGATCCAAACAGGAAGGAAGTGAACATGCTTTAATAAGAAGTTTTTCCTGTGATTAGAAGAAAAAAATCAGAATCACAAAGAGAAACTAACATTAGATGAACTTAATCACAAATAGTAAATGAGCCATTGGAGATTACTGAACAAATATCTTAGACAGTAGTAGATAATACTACTAAGACTAGGAAGAAAATACCAAAGGATCATCATTTTTGGATAATATTAAACCTTATAACATATAGGATAATCTTGTAAATATGAAAGCTAATGTTAATATTAGAAAAATAATGCAATTCAGGTCAAAACAGCAAAAACTCCTTTAAGGGATGAGAAGACTTAAATTAAAAGAAACTGCAATATTCATTAATATTCAAGAAGAAGAAGAATGAACTATAGTATTGTGATATCATACTAAATTAGGAAAAATTCTGTAGTAGCTATTATCAATACAGGAGCTGCAGTAAGCATCATAATATATAAGTTAATGAAAAAACTTGGATTAAATATTGACAAACCTTCACATATAATTATCATTATAGCAAATGGACAAAGAGAAAGAGCTCTAAGGATAATTAAAAATGTGTTATTAATTATTCAAGAAATTTTTATTAAAATAACCTTCTAAGTTATTGACTTGACTGACAAAACTTTATTGTTAAGAATTGACTGGCGTAAGAAAAACAAAGTTAATATTAACTTTGAAAATTATGAAATAATTCTCACTTCTGGATTAGACAAAGCTATAGTTCCTGTATAATGTGTTTTTGAAAAAAGAATTAGAGCTGTAACCATTGAGAAAGAACTTTATGAAATGATTGAACAAGGGTTAGAATATGAATCTGATGATATAGAAGAAATAGATAGTTACAATTTAGAAATTGAAAAATAAGAAAAGAAAATAATACTGACATTTGGAACTAAGCCTGGAAAAAAAATTCAATTCAATCTTAGGCTGACAAATTAGAAATTTATGAGAAGGAAGTTAATAATTCTAAATATATGCTTAATATTTTATATAATCAAAACAGAATATTTCTTCCAATCAAAAAAACAGAAGTCATGTACAGAATGTGACAATCTCTTAGAGAAAATTAGAAAGGAATGAAAATCAAATGAAAGCAGCAGTAAGAGAAATTGAGAAAGAAACTGGAGTAAAACTCAAGAAAGAAGATTTGGAATACCTATTTAACGAACTAGAATTTAACTGCAACGTATATGCTACAAAGATTTTTAAAAGAATTAGATTAGAACTAACTAAGATAAAAATGGATCTTGAATTTGTCTTAGTTTCCTAAAATATGAAGAAATAGCTAAGCAAGCAAAGATTATACTAACCTATATGACATTTATCGATGAAATATTAAATCAAATTGTATGAAATAACTTGCCTAATAATCTTGCAAAAATTATACAAGTGAAAACTGTAAAAGAGAAAGTTGTGACTTCTGAGTAGCAAAAGAAATTGATGCTTTGATAAAGGAAAATAAAGATAGATTTGTTATTAATATTTCTGAAACTGGACAATTAACCAAAGTTGAAAGAATTAATGTAGCTTGACATAAAATTAATACAAGAAATACTGATTCAATTAGAAGAAATTATTATTGAATGACTAAAGAAAAGCAAGAATTTATTAATGAAAAATTAAAAAGATACTATATAAAGGAATTATCCAAGTATCAGATAATCTATGAATATCATCTGCAATCCTTGTAAAGAAAGCAAATGGGAAGAAAAGATTATGTATTAACTATAAAGGATTGAATAAACTCATAAAGAAGATGCTTACCCTTTGCCAAGAATTGATGAAATCCTAGAAAACTTAAATGGAGCAAAATGGTTCTTAAAATTTGATCTAGCAAGCAGATTTTAGTAGATTGAAATGAAATTCAAAGATAGAGAAAAAACTGCATTTGTAATTAAGAGAGGACATTATAAATTTAATGTTATACCTTTCAGACTATGCAATACTCTAGCTGCCTTTCAGAAGACTATGAACAAAGTATTAGAGAAATATATCAGCTGATTTGTAGTAGTTTTTATTGATGATATTATTGTCTATTTAAATAGTTTTAAAAAGCATATTAGATACCTTCAAATGCTTTTTCGCAAGTTAAGAAAAGCAAATTTAGCCCTGAATAAAAAAGGTGTGAAATATTTTAAAGGGAATTACGATTCTTAGAATATAAAATCAATGAATATGGAATTCTGCCAGACCCTTAAAAGATAAAAAAAGTTTAAGACTTCCTTATACCAAAGAATGTAAGACAAATTAAAGAATTTCTTGAATTAGCATTATATTATCAAAAGTTCATTAAAGACTTTTCAAAAATTGCTAAACCTTTGAATAACCTGATGAAGAAAGAAGTAAAATACATTTAAACTAATAAAAGTCAAAATTTATTCAAAACTTTGAAAGAAAATTAACGCAAGCTCTAATTTTAGGATATTTAGACTTTGATCATACATTTTATTTTTTTACTGATATTTCAGGAATTGGATTAGGAGCTGTACTTACACAAAAAGATAATCAAGAAAAAGAAAAGGTGATCATCTATGAGAGTAGGACACTTAATGTCATGAATCAAATTATAGCGTCTAAGAATTAGAATATCTAGCAATCAATTGAGCAGTAGAATATTTTCACGACTATACCTTTTTAAAACCTTTCATTTTAGTAACTGATAATGCAGCATTAAAATAGTTACAAACTTCAACTATAAAGAAATGAACCAAAAAAGCTAGATGGTTATTGAATCTTTAACAATATACCTTTAAAGTTCAGCATTGTTCAAATAAGAATAATGCAAATTCTAATGCATTATCTTTGATGATGATGAAAACTCTAATGAGATTATGGAAACTTATATAATTTCTGTATAAACTGAAGAAAATCTAGATGAAGTAGAAGGAAAGGAGATTGAATGGTATATCTCTTTGCTAGAAAATAATGTAGGACAAAACAAGAATAAAACTGACCTTGAGCAAGAATTGATAAATTTATTTAATAATGATTTATTAGTCACTATTGGGTACTATTGCCTTCAAGATGAAATGATCAAGATCTATAAAGAAAATATTAAAGTTAAGTAAGTAATCACAAATTAACTAATTACCTAAGAAGGCTCTAAATGCACAGAATTTTGTGACAATGAAAGTCATCACATTCACATATACTGTAAAGCTTATAAACATAATTTATCTTATAGAATTATCCTTTATGATTGTATTATTAAATTCAAATGTGAATAAATTCATCCTGATATGAACTCTAATTATTTAACTAATGAATTATTGTGAACTGAACCTTTACTTGTTTAACAAGAAAATGCTTATGCATAATTGTTTGCCATGCTCTAATAATTCCATTTTTATATTAACAGAATTACCAGAGTGAAAGTGAAAGTGTTAATATTGTGATTAACACTGAAAATCTAACTATTTTTAATGGATACATAGGAAAAGTCCAGTAATATGAAGTTCACTAACTTCATATAAATAAAAGCTGCAAATTTTTTTTTAATGCAATTATTTGAATACATCCTACTTATTTTAAGACCCAAAACTGATCTCAGATTTTTAGAATTGATGAATATAATATGAAGATTTTAAATTCTTAAAAATAATAGTTTATTAATATTTTTTATAAATAATAAGTTTTAACTTTGATCAATTTTCTAAAAAAAATAAATTTAATTTGGAATGCCAAAAGTGTTTTTAAAAAGTCTAATTCAATAAATTAACAAAGAGGAGCTTTTATTATATTATTATACTTGTTAATTGCTTTTTGATCATCTAGCATTATCTGATGAATCTATATATATTTATATAGATCTATTATTATATTATATGTAACATTTAACTTATAATTAAATCAGCTAGCTGGTGTTTAATAGGCCATTAAATAAATAATTGGAAGAAGAAATGATAGATGAACCAAACAATATAATTTGAACTTATTGTACATAAATAGCAATACAAGAAGTTTTAATAATTAGAAAATAGTTGTTACCATTCCTTAAGGTGCAGTGTGTCTTTTGAAAAATTGACAAAGTTTTTTTAAAAATTTGAATTTATTATTTTTTAAATTTTTCTAACTTAATAAATTTCAAATTGTAAAGTTGTCTATAAAAATTGTTGAAAGGTAGCTTCTTAATAAATTTAAAATGATATTTCTCAGTTTTAATTTAACATGATAGTTTATATAGTTACATCAACTATTTAAGTTATATAATTAACTTTTAATTAATGCTATTAATTTGCTATCTATTAAAATAATTGAAATTTCACAGCCTGATAATACTTATACTGTAAATAAAAAGTATACATCATCAGATCAATGAAAATTTTTACAGTTAACTTTTGATATTTTTATAAATAAATTTACAACAAATATAAAATACCAAATAAAGTTTATGATATTTTACGCTATTATAAGAATTGAAACTTAATAATCTTAATAAGAAAAGACACATAAATAAACAAAGTTGCTTAATATTTAAAAAAAAATATTTTAAATTTGCCAATACGGTTATTATTTTCTCTTTTTTCAATCTGACTATCGCTCTACTTACACTTGAAAATCACCAGGTCTGTGCCACAAAATTTCATTAAAATTAAGTCAGCTATCTTTTTGAATGTCCTTTGTTTATAATAATATCCCTTCTCGTTGCTTCTTAGTATTTTTTAAGCCATGTAATCGATTGTTGAATTGCATCTTCAAGTTTCATCTTGCTTGCTAGGTCAAGATTACCAGCAACTTGTTCGCTCAATTGATCACAGATAATTTAATTCAGAATATTGATGTATAATAAATATTAAACAAACGCTTACATGAAGTATGTTACGTAAATTATATGCATAACTTTCCAAACGATTTCTTGCCTGTATATTATGTGCAATATTCTCATCGTCTTCACAATTTTTCTCAGCTTTTGCAAATATTATTTCATAGTTTTGTTAGCAAATATCTTTACATAAAGATTTCATCACAAAATTGGGAACCATAATTATATGCCCATACGTTCGATTTCTTCCTTTGACAATCGATCTTTGTCATTCGTGATGGTCATATTATTAATATTCCAATTTTATTATCAGCAGCGGATACCTACAATTAATTCAAGTTAAAGACTATTATGAAAATGGCAACAATAACGATAATAAATAAAAGTTGAATATCTAATACATGCGTTTAAGATACCGTTTGCACCTCAAAGGTAACTTCGATTTGTGAAACACCCTTCGGTATTGGATTAATTTCAGACAATTTGAGTTCTCCAAGCAAAATTGTATCCTTAGTATAGGCACGTTTACCTTCATAAATTCGAATGATAAATGCTACGAGTTTTCCATTTCTGCGGAATAAACAAAAATTCCACGTTAAATCATATTAACGTTAACATCAAATTCAATTTTAATTAATTAAAAAATAGTTACCATGATGTTGACATTGCATATATAATTTTTAACTAATCTCCGCTTCCAATTATTTGCAAATACAGCTTATAGATCTTAGATATTTATGAAAATACATAATGAAAGAGAGCTGAACAATACTTTAAGAATATTAATTAATTTCTTTGAAAAAAGATTAATGTCTCTAAATATTATCACCTGATATGCCTAATAATATATTGAATCAGGATTATTTATTTCTTTGCCTAATCAATTAATAATTTTTGATTGTGAGTTCGTTTTTTCGTGTTCTGACTGTATTGGTAGAAATATTATAGTGACTTCATATTATTTTTTTTTTTTTAATATATGCTTTAAAATTAACAAAATTTTTATTAATTTTGAGGATGATTTTTATTTTAGTTTTATTTTTTTTTTTAAAAAAAAAAAAAAAAAAATGGCAAATTTCACCGGATTTTAATTCATATATAGAAGAATTTAATAATTTACATCAAATCAAAATTATATATTAAAACTTTAATATAAAAAAGTTGACAATAGTACGTCATTTGTTTAGATTACAAAATAACCTTAGAATTAAGGCTTTTTGAAACAATTAGCTGATTATATAATTTACCTAATAGTAATCATAAATAAGTAAATTATATAACGAAAAATGTGAAAAATAGCGTTTGTTCAAAATACATTCTGGTAACTAATCTAGAATATGTAATACGAATCTTAAAAAATTTTCATTAAAAATTTTTTTCATTTGGCAAAAATAAAATTTCACCGATCATACTTCATGATATAATTCAGATTTTGTTCTAGCTAAAGCATTTAGATCTTCGTCTAAACATACGAAAGCGGTAGCAGTTTCACTTAATATAACAGATCCAATAATATTCAACGTTTGAAAACCAACGATGAATAATCAAGGGAGTAAATTCTCTATTATGATTAAATAAAAGTTTAAATATAATTGTGAATAATAACTTATTAATGCCGTTATAATTCCTACAAGAAATGCACTTAAACGAATTAAATGTCAATTGTTAAAATGAAAAAAATATATATACATCTAAAATTTAAACATTTAATAAATTATTACCCATAACTAAGACGTTATCAATTAAATTATCACTTATGATTGCTTCAACATCTTGATCTTTGATTAATATCCAAGTATTCTGAAAGGAAAAGAAAATTAGACAGGGTTTAGAATAATAAAATAAAAGAATTAATATCGTTTCACCTTTGCCTATATTTTCATTTTGATTAAAATCATCGTAGTTAGAACTTTAAATATTAAAGAATTCTTACAGATTCCTAGAATGACTTTCCGTAGAATGCAACTCGCGTATAGGTATAAAAGTTGAAATATTGCTAAAAATACGACGAAGGTAACTAATTTAATAACAATAATGATAATAAAATTAGAAATTCAAACATTCTTACCAATAATGATTCGATATATCTGACAAGTACCGCAGTACAAGCGGCATAAAAAGCTCCAAACGGAATCGATATTCTACACCGCGCTTCTCAAAAGTGCACCAATGTCTTGTAAAATACAACAAGAAAATTTTCTAAACAAATAATTCCAAAACTTGTAATTGAAGCACGTTTACACTTTTTAAAGTAGGAGAAGAAGAAACTCCTCTAGATGTTCCTGCTATATGTAGCAAAAACTCCAGAAGTTGTAACATGTACCCAAGTTTGAATTATTTGTGAAGTTCAATAGTAAGAGAATATAATTATAGCAATTAAATTTCCATTTTCACATCCTTCTGCTACGGGCAAATTTTCACCTGGCCTTTCTGTATACCAAATTTGATATGTATTTAAAGGTAAAAATGCGGCTGATAATTGAATTGGATTAGAGAAAATTACATCCATAAATATCAATACATTTTTTTAAAAATAAAAACGAAAAATAAATACCAATTAATAATGTATAAAATGGCTACAATAGCTTTAAGTGGAATAACATGGTGGATGGTTCCCTTAGATTTCTGGGATACCCGATCGTAAAACTTCATCATGACGAAAAATTCCTAGTAAGCACGTCAATACCTCTGCCAATTTATAAACACCGTTTGTAATGATTTTAAAACATGTCGTCAATCAGGACCAAACTTCTTTCTTAAGAATGGAAGTCTAGTAAATCTTGTCTTAAAATATCGCCATCGTCGTACTCTATTTTTGAAATGAAAAATGTAAGAGTAAGAAATATGTTTGAAAAGGTAGGTAATGGAGATGCAAAAAGTAGTAAAATATATGTGCATAAAAATACATAGACATGCATAGAGGTAAAGGTAAAAAAATATGTGTGAAATGAGACGCATTAGTGTAGAAACTCAAGATCTACTTCAGTTACAAAGGTGATAACTAAAAGTGAAACCTCGTTTTCAAGAGGCTCGCAGATCATCATTTAGGTTTGCAATAAAGCAATGTCATAACCGAATCCTCGTAAAGAAACAGTAGACCTTTGTGGTCGAAATGTATTTAAGCTACTACACTACACCACGAAACACTTCCACGAAAAAAAGATAAAATACATTATTTCTTCACTTACTTGTTGACATCAATGATCACTGTTAAAATAACTATACTAAATATAGCATAACAAGCTATTACTAATAGAATATTATATAATAAATTGTCTTGGAATCTATAAATTAATAAGAATTAGTAAGATAAAATTAAAAAAAAAAGACAAAAATGAAATTTATAATAACATTTGAGCCAAGGTCAAATATCCCTTCCTAATACATCACTAGGTGACGGCGATAATGGTAATGGTGATATGTTCCATAAGACTGAACGATCCTATCGTTATCCTATAAAAAAGATCGCGCATACTACCTCATAACCATGAAACCCTATATGTAAAGCTTCAACGAATAACCGCGTCTAAAATGCAATTTTAACCCTACCTCTTAAGAATTCATCCTAGACGTCAACCGTTGGATGATGGTATGAAAAACTAATTTTCTCTTTCTCGTCAGACCTTTCGGATCTGTAGAAAATAATGGAAAATAATCCCATATAAGTCGTCGCCGTCAAAGAGTCGATTACTACAATGGTGTGGTAAGTGTACCTAAAATAAGAGAAAGTTTTTTTATTTATTAGAGATGCTCCGAAACTCTAAGTAATTCAGTGACGCATGTGTTCTAGACAAGTTCATGAGAATATATTCTAATAAACCTGATTACACATGGGTATCAATCAAAGGATGTCTAGAATACCACTGAATAATTAACGCATTAGGTGTAAGCATGGGTATGAAACTTACCTTATTATTGATATTCGATGCTAACGCAGAAAATCTTTCTTTGGTTATCATCGTCGTCGTTAGAAAAGCGTTGTAAGGTCGATGAAACATGTACAAAGTGTAAACAAGTTATGAATCTTAATAAAGTTCGTTTCACTTTTTTTGTGTTTGTACGAAAATATACAAAGTGTTGGGAAGAGAGGATATAATTGTAAAGATTTTTAAAAATGTATATCGATATATTTATTTGATTGTGCGAATATTTTTATTGGTCATGAAGATCATGCTGTTTTTAGAAATATTACTAATACGAAATTATCAATAAATTTCTTTGTCATTTTTTTTAAAAAAATATCTTCAAATTGTGCTTAGCAATTTTTTTTTTTTTGAAAAACTTGGAGCAGGACCAGGAGGACTTTGTTCTTTATCATTCTTTAATAAAATTAAGATAAGAATTTAATGTAAAAATCTTTGAACGTGAAACTATCCCTAAAGGTAAAATATATAAAGTTCGAATAATATCGACGTGAACCGGGGTTCAACCATTTCCAAATTTTGAATTACAATTCGCCGATCATCTGAAATTTTTTTGATGTCACCCGCATTGGTCACAAATTATCCGGTATCACGTAATGTTTTTATAATTAACGACTTCTCTCCTTTTTTACTGAAACTTTTCCACAACCATTTATTTTTTATTCTTTTTACTAAAAAAAATAATATTTTAGTCGGTTGGCCACGGTCAAAAATGCTTAAAATACAAAAAAAAGACTAAGCTTTATTGAATATTGTACTATATATTGGATATCAAACCATGTTCCAAGAGAACTACCGCAAGTGGATTTGACGAAGTTTCAGCGTAAAAAGGTTAATCCCGCGTTCTTACAAGAATATGACTACATTCCAAAAACTCCCAGATTCCAACATGTCTTATGGATTTTTGCAAATAGACCGTGGTGGTAACGGGAAACGGTCGTTAGGGCATGACACTGGAGAAAAGCTAGCACATCCAAGAAAAACATACCTGTATTGACATGTAAGTATACTTACTTAATTATCGTCGTCTTGTCATTTTAGCAGCAGGGTGGTCCGAATATTGTTAAGAGAAAGGATACCATCCAGGCCGTCAAA